GTGTGTGTGTGTGTGTGTGTGTGTGTGTGTGTGTGTATGTGTGTGTGTGTGTGTCTCCCTTGAGTTTGGGATCTTCCAAGACCCCCCCCCCCCAAGGCCTAGGGCTTAATTCCTTGATCCTGGAGATGTGGCCCTATCTTTTTCCTTTTGTTTTGTTTTGTTTTTGTTTTTGCTATCCATACAATTCATTTTGATCATATTCACCACTGATCATATTCATCATCCAAAACTCCTCCCAGATCCATATGCTTTCTATGCTCATCCATCTTTGTGTCCCTTTTTTCCTTTCTTGTTTTAGAATCCATTGACTAATTCGTGCTGCCCAAATAGTCTTGTACATTTCACTGTTTTGTGATTGGATTACCAGGAGAAAACTGTCTCTTCCTCTCCCAGCAGCTAATAATTGCCAGTAGCTCCATACTAAGGGCGGGATTTGGTGCAGAACTCCCATCTCCATGTCTGGTTTGGGTTTGCACAGGTCTTGTGCATGGTGTTGTAACTTCTTTGAGTTCATATGCACAGCTGCCCTGTTGTGGCCAAAAAATATTGTTTCCTTGTAGTTACCCACTACCTCTGGGTCTTATGCTGCTGTTTCTGCTACTTCTTCCTCAATGATTCCTGTGTGTGTGTGTGTGTGTGTGTGTGTGTGTGTGTGTGTGTGTGTGTTCCCATTAGGGCTGAACAGTGTCCAGTTTCTTATTCTCTGCACCATGGCTAGTTGTGGGTCTCTGTTAATCATCATCTATTGAAAAATAGAATTGTCTCAAATGAAAGTGGAGAAAGATGCATTAATCTATGGGTAAACCACTAAGTCATCAGGAGTTAAAACTATGTCCATTTAGCAAAATAATAGGAGTCTCTGGGAACTTTTGCATGTCTAGACCTATCTTGTCTGTCTTGATAACTGGTAAGGTTTCATCTTGTTGACAGACACTCAAATCCAAGCGGAAAGTGGTTGGTTACTCCCATGATGGTTTTGCCACAATTGTACACTGGACATATCTGCTCCCCTTGTCAGGCCAGTCATTATTGTACTTCGCAGGGCTCATAGCTAGGCATTGTTGAAGATTACTTTTCCACTGCTGTAGCACGCGTAGCACCTTTTTGATGGGAGATGTCAGTCTGTAAATATGTTTCTCTAATTGGTTAATGAATAAAGCACTATTGGCCAATAGGAAAGGAAGATAGGCGGGACTAGGAGACAAAGAAGATTCAGGAAGTAGGAGGGAGGAGTTTCTACATGTTGGACCAATAGGGTAGAATGCCAGCCCTCTCTCTGGTAAGATAAGTCCATGTGGAAATATTTAGATTAATAGAAATGGGTTAATATTTAAGACAGAGCTAGCCAATAAGAAATGCTAGTAACAGGCCAACAGTTTTATATCTAATACAGTGTCTCTGTTACACCCTAATACAGTGTTATTTGGAGCTGGTGCTTCTGTGGGACCAGGCCGGGAAAAAGAAACTTAACAAAATGGCACCTTCAACATGGCTAATAAGAACGTCCACTTAAAACTTAACAAAAGCTTAAGAAAGGGTTTTAGAAACAAAAGAACAGAGACAAGCAAGGCTTCCTAGTATCAGCATTTTTCTCAGTCGGGCTCTGTTTTGCTAGAGAATACCAGATATTTGTGTGGCTCCTTTAAGGGAGGTTTCCTGATACATCATAATCACTACTAACAATTCAATGGTTTGTATGAGCAGCTGGAAAAAAAAATAATAATAGAAAGAGAGTAGCTGGGGCATTGGTGGCACATGCCTTTTATTCCAGCACTCAGGAGGCAGAGGTGAGCAGATCTCTATGATTTCAAAGTAAACCTGGTGTACGGACTAAATTCCAGGGCAGGCGAAAGTTACACAGAAAAACCCTGTTTCAAAAAGTGAAAAATCGAAATAAAAGAAATAGAGTAATCAAAAAGCCACGTAAAGATGGAAAGCACAAAAAAAGAGTCTGGATACTGTATGGTATTGTGTTGTCTTTGTATTCACTGCTGAGGAAATAGCAACAATTGTTAAAAGAAATGCTGCTAGATTATTCCAATTTATATATTTTAAAAGTGCTTTGACTCTAAAATTTAAGTCTAAGGACAAGTTACTGGGGGAAAGGATTTCTATTTTTTTTCCCCACAGAAAATAAAAAGCTGTGGATTCCTTCCAGACTAACATGGTTTGATCAAGCAAGACCCCCTGAAACAGTGTCCCAGGTGATCCAACATTCAAAACAGTTGGGACAAGGCAGCCTTGCAGACTACAGCCAGGATTTCTGAGTCTTCTTAGGATCTCCATGACAGCATCCCCTACCAGCAGGAAGCAGTTTGGAAAGAACGACATCCAAATTCCCAAATATTGTCTGTAAATGTTTGTTTTCTTTTAAGTGGGGTTGGTTATAAATGATTAATGACCACAACCAATCTCTTTTTAAAGGTGAAAATGGTATTATGGTATAGATATGAATACTTCATTTTGGGATGGATTTTCATTTAGTGATAAAATTTAAGGTCAGTTTTGTAATATGTATATTTTTCTTCTTGTTTAGGTATTGTGTTTATATAGCTCATTTAAAAATTATAATTTAGTACAGATTTTAGATAGTTACCTATAATAATCAAAACTTTAGTTAAGCTTTACCTATAATTGTCAAAACTTATGGTTAAGTTAGTTAGGATTTCTAGATATACAGAGATGTATTTGAGATAAATAGACATTCTTCAAACCTTTCAAAGACCTATAGAATATGGCATTTAAAATGGTATAGGGTTTTTCTTAACAGTGAGGCACAGCTGCTCCTGGCAACACCACTTGCATCAGAAAGGAAGATGGACATTGAAGAAACTTGTTATGGAGTTTGCTTCCAATATGGGAAGACTAGCCATTTGGACAAGATACTGCTCTTGTCTGGACTGTTTGACTTTATGCTGTATAAACTGGACATGCAGGACCCATAGGAAAGTGACTGCTGATGCATGATGGACATTGCTACAGAGTTCCTGCTTCATGGAAGAGTCTGTCAGACAGTCTGCCAGACACAGTGAAAAGTGACTGACAGACGTGGACAGTTTAAAGTTTCCTGCTTTGCTGAGGAGTCTGCCAGACACACTATGGCCTATAGGCTGAAGATGAAACATTACAGAAGAACTTTGGGTGACTGACCAGGCGAGTTGTCTCTGTCATTTCTAGAGTTTATATATTATCCTTCTGTGGTCTTTGATGGAGTTGAAGACAGATAGTTATGGTTATAGTTTTCCTTAGTTAGGATTAAAGATAAGTTACATATAAGACTTTAGACTTACAAAGATAGGATAGATGATAGAATATTTTCTTTAAATCTTGCTAAATGTTAATGGACTAAATATTATTAGCTATGGTTCTTGTTTGATAACTGTTTTGTTATATATTTTGCTATGTTAAGGTTAAAACCCTTCTTTTTATTTAAACAGAAAAGAGGAGATGATGGGAGATGTCATTCTGTAAATATGTTTCTCTAATTGGTTAATGAATCAAGCCCTGTTGGCCAATAGGAAAGCAAGATAGGCGGGAGACAGAGGATTCAGGAAGTAGGAGGGAGGAGTTTCAAGATGTTGGACCAACAGGGTAGAACGCTGGCCCTCTCTCCGGTAAGATAAGACCATGTGGAAATATTTAGATTAATAGAAATGGGTTAATATTTAAGACAGAGCTAGCCAATGAGAAATGCTAGTAAAAGGCTAACAGCTTTTATCTATTGTATTATATCTAATACAGTGTCTCTGTGTGTTATTTGGGGCTGGCGCAGCTGTGAGACCAGGCCGGGAAAAACATACTCATAACACCTTTTAGCAGTTGAAAACTAGCCAGTAGAGATGATGCTTCCAGGCCAGAGCTAGCTTGGTTTCTTCATGTTCTGTGACTCAAATATGTGATGTCTTCAGCAATAGGGTCTTACCATCAAGTTTTGGAGGGTAACCAAAAGCAGTGACAATACCTGTAATGTTGGGGGAGTGTCTTTGAGACCTTACTGGTTAACAACTCCAAAAGAGGTAACCCATTCCTAGCAATGCACTTTTTCTTTATTAGTCTCTGGTATCTAGTGGTGATATTGTTATAGGATAACTTAATTTTAAACAAACATTCTATATCTATCATCTGTCTATTTTTCTATCAATCATCTATCTATCTACCTATCATCTATCAAGATATAGAGGCATCTATGGTAATTTTCACATGCTTTTTCCCTAAAAGGTCTATAGTGTTACTTAACCTTCTTTCTCAGGATTTACTATTTTTAAGTTTACAATATGAAGATATTGTAGTCATTCCCAGAAGTATAATAGCTCTAAAGTTCCATGGATTGATAACCTGTTCTGCACCCAGGCTTCACTTCAAAGTGTGGATATTTTTGGAATGGGCTCCTTTCTAAGAGCCCTGTGCCAGAGCCTGTTTGTGAGTCCAGCTGCTCCTGCATCCCCCAGGGCAAGTACCAGTTCTGGTTTGTCTCTTCAGAGTCACTTTGATCAAGGTTGTTGTAGAACACTATTCCCTGAGTCACCATCTCCATCAGAACAGTTCAGACTACCTGGAACAGAGTTCATTTGACTCAGTTTATGGGGGTGTGTTTCTAAGTTTGCTTCCCCTGCCCCCTGTCCTTTGTAAGTTGTCAGTGCTGACAGTGGTTGGTTTTGTTCTCCAGTGGCATGTTGACTCTTTGGTGTCTTTTCGTATGAATTTTAGACTTTTAAAGTATCTATAAAATAATACCCCAGGATTTTGTGCAGGATGATGGGTACTCTGAATTTATCCAGCTGTTGGAGGATGGAGGCTCCAGTACTCACCCAGGATGGGGTTTGACCTCATGACTGGCTCAGATCGGTGGATTCTCTTTACTGGTTAAGAATGGGCTGCAGAGATGCTCTGTAGCCTGCCAATCTCACCTCTGCCATGTCCCTCCTTGCTGCTGAATCAATTGGGAGACTAGGGTGTGAAGGGCCTTCTTCCTAAGTGCCTCTTTCTTTTCGTCTTGTTCCTCAGATTGGACTCTGCATGTAGACTCTTCTCTAGGGAGAGTGTTCTGGAGAGTGGGAGATGGCCCCAGGGCTCCTGACAACCAGAGACGAGGTAAGTCCTGCCATTTCTCCTGTCCCTTTGCCCTTTTCCTGTCTGCAGTCTTCCTTGTGGGCGTTAGGCAGTGCCTACTCCCATCTGGGAGGTCTGACCTGTCATACCTGGAGCTTCCTATAGAATTTCACAGTTATTAACTGCGATCATCACATGGCTAGCATGAGAACACAGGATATCTAGGCTTATGTACCTGGTGAATCCCAAGACATGAAAGATGTGTGTGAAGGCTGTGTCTGTGTCTCTGTGTGTGTCCATACACATGAAAGCCTGGAAGCCAGAAGTCAGCCTAGCTTATTTAATGAGTCTCAGACCTTGTTTCAAGAAACAAGGTAGGCAATACTTGAGAAATGGCAGCTGAGGTTTTATTCTGGCTGCCATATACATGTACATGCACCCCCATACATATGAAGTACATGAACACACACACACACACACACACACACACAGTCTGAATCACTTGCTTCTTTGACAACAAATCATTCTACACTTACTAGACAATGTAACAGCTTGATGTAACTCAGTGTAGTTAATATCAACCAACCAAACAGCTGCTAAAGAGCACTTTTGTTTTTAATATAGTAGTTACACAAATATTTATTCTCATTTTTGCTAACTGAGCTTTGCTTTGTGCTGCAAGTATATCAAGCATGAAATGTTTTTCAGAGAAGATCTAGATATTATCTGGGGTCAGATGGTAGATATTTACATATTCCTGAGGAAGATGAAAATGTTTGGTTTTGTCATTATCAGAAAGAAACCAAGGGATGTTACCCCCCCCCCCATTTGTCAAATCTTTTATACCTTTGTAGAGAATTTTGTTGTTGTTTTGTGTTTTCTTCAGACAGGCTTTCACCCCCTAGCCCTAAAACTCACTGTGTAGACCAGACTATTTTCAAATTCACAGAGATGTGCCTGCCTCTGTCTCTCAAGTGCTGGGATCAAAGGTGTGTGCCACCATATCTGGCCCCTAGAGTAGTGTTCATGGTCAACAATGGTTTTTAAAGTTGTATTTTCAGTTACTATATTGTATATCAGATCTGAATAACATAGAAAAATCTGAGCTATATACGTGTAACATGACTTTTTGCTTGAAAGTTGAATTATAACATTAAAGGGCTGTTCGTACAGGATGCTAGTTAATTAGAAATCAATTAATAGATTTTCAATAAACCTTAAGTGTTTTTTTTTAAGTCTGCTGCAAACTATGCCTTACAAACAATAATAAGTAACTGTAAATTCATTATGAAGTTCCCCATTTTAATAGAAGATTCACCATTGGAGTTTTAAATTTTAAAAATGAGGACTAGAGAGATGGCCCATGGTTCAGAGATGTGTTGGTCTTGCAAAGGACCTGGCATGGTGATTCACAACCATCAGTAACTTTCTCTTTTCAACTTTTATCAGTTATGCCTGTGCTGCACAGATAAACATACAGGCAAAACACTCAGACACATGAAAACAAACTAAATATATCTTTAAATATGTATCTGGATATAATTTATATACCATAAAGTTTCCCCATAAGAAATATTCAATTTAGTGGAATTTAGTATATTTTCAACTAGTACGTATCAGATTGCACAGCCTTTAACACCAAAATGTTTTCATCATTTTCCAAAGAAATCCTTTACTCACAGGAGTTATTCTATGCTATACTGTCTTCTCCCAGCTCCTGTTAACTACTGTCATTGTTTGAATAAGAATGGCTCCCATAGGCTCATAGATTTGAATGTTTGGTCTTTAGGGAGTACTACTTGACAGGGAGTAAGAGGTATGGCCTTGTTGGAATTGGTGTCACCTTGTTAGAGGAAGTGTGTCACTGGGGTGGGCTTTGAGGTTTCAAATGCTTAAGCCAGACACATTCTTTCTCTCTCCCTTCCTGCTGCCTGCTGCCCTAGATGTAGAGCCCTCCGCTACCTCTCCAGCGTCTGCATGCCACCATGCTTCCCACTGTAAGGAGTACGGTTTTTCTGCCTGCCGCCGCTGGTCTTGTCCCGCCGCCGCGCCAGCCCCAATTAATACACTGAGACTCTGTATTAGATATAATTCTGTTGGCCTGGTTACTTGTTTCTTATCGGCTAGCCCTATCTTAATTATTAACCCATTTCTGCTGATCTATGTATTTCTCTTACTGGGGAGCCAGCGGCATACTGCTTTCTCCCGACTCTCCATCTTGGCTCCTCCTTACTACTTCCTCTTTCTTCCTTGTCTCCTAGTCCCTCCTATCTTTCTTTCCTATTGGCCAGTAGTGCTTTATTATTAACCAGTATGAGAAACATATATACATAATGGCATCTCCCATCATCCCACCATGATAACGGGACAAAACTTCTGAACCCAGGCCCAATTAAATGTATTTTTTTTAAAAATAAGAGTTGCCATGGTCATAGTGTCTCTTCACAGCAATAGAAACCCTAAAACAGAAGTTGGTATGAGGGACTGAGGTATTTCTGTGACAGGCCTGACCATGCTTTTGTTTAGAGGAATGTGGACTTTGGATTAGAAAAAGCAGTTGAATGCTTTAAAAAGCTGATGCTTAGTGGCCAGAGAGTGCCATAATATTTTCAAATATCTACCTGCCCTTAAATTGTCTGTCTGCTAAGTGGTTGTGAGGAAACTTAGCACACATAGAGCTAAGGGAGCCACAGACAGGAAACCAAAAGAATTCAAGTCAACTTATGTATTGGCAAGTAGAGAATTCAGTAAAGAAAAACTATGAAAAGAAAGAATACAGAAATTCTAGAGCTGTAAAACATAATAACTCTTGTAAAAATTAAATCAAAGTAGTTCAGCAGTGTATTGGGTAGATGTACTAAGACTGGAGATACTTCAACTGAGTATCTATTCTAAAGAGCAAAGAAAGCAAGAGAAGATAAATAAATAAACAAATGGAGCCATAGGGCCCCATCAGATGTACTGATGCACACAGTGGAAACTGAAGAAAAGATACAAAGAAGATGCAAAGGAATGATTTCTAGAAAGTCTTTGAAAGAAGATCTGTTTATCTAACAAGACGCCAAGATTAACATTTAAAGAGAAAAAAAAAATCTGCACCATGATTTTAATACTGTCAAAACCCAAAGACAGAACTTTGGAAGCAGTTAAATGATAGGTGATTCATTTCTCACAAGAGAGCAGTATGACTAAGATAATTGAGCCTACCAAATAGGTAAGGAAGGACTAAGATTATCTCTTCACTGGAAACCTGAACCAGTATCTTAAAACTGTGGAATACTTTTTGGTAGTTTAAATGTTTGCCCCAAGATTCACATGTGGAAAAAAGGATCTTGGGAAGTAATTAAAGTCATGGGGGCAGAACATGTATATAAGAGTAAGTATATAACGGGCCTAAAGGGAACTAATTTGGCCCTTCATTGCTCCTTTGTCTTGTCTTCCTCTGAGGACATCTGAGGTATCCCCTGTGGAGGATATGATACCATCTTAGAAACAGACCAAGACCTCCACAACACTTCCAGTTGCTTTCTAGAGCCTCCTGAGCTGAATAACATTCCCACAGAAAAAAGATGGTTGCAGTTAGTATAAGTATTACGGCTCTGAAGGGAAAGGTACCCTAGCAGTTAGAAGCCAATGAATGCTTACAAGTGTTACAGCTCTAAAGGTATCTGAGTAGTCTAAAGGTATCTGAGCCAAGGAATACTTACAGCTCAGAAGAGAAAGGTATCCAACATAAGTGTTACAGCTCTGTTCCAGTTAGGGACCGTTTCCCCAGCAAAGTGTTACAGTCCTTGCTCCAGGAAAGGTTTCCCTAATGCAAGTGTTATAACTCTTGCAGGGGAGGGTCTTCCCAGTGAGGTTGTAGTACTCTGCTCTGCTCTGGAGAAATGATACAGTTCTGCTTAGCTTCCCTGGAGTGTAACAGTTCTGCTCCAGCAAGAAAAAAAGTTTCTCCAGCCAAAGTGAATGCTGTTACATTTCTGCTCTGCTCAGCTCTAGTGAAAGAAAGTCATTACCACAAATCCAACTCAAGAGATTTATTGTGAGGGAGGAATCCAGGAGAGTGGCTGCCTCTGCCAGGATGTAAAAAAGGCAGCCCTAAACTGAACAAGTACAAGACTTATACAGGGTTTTCTATGGGTGGAGTTTTCCAAGGTGGAGATTTTCAGGGTTGGGATTGGTAGGATTTCAATCCCCGAGCTTGAGACAAGCTCAGAGATTGGTTGGTTTTCGTGTCCAGGGATTGGTTGATTTTCAGTCCCTGAGTTGGTTGGGGGCAGAGTGTGTCCCCTGACTCTGGTCTCAGGGCCAGGGTGGTTTTCATTAGTCCCTTTTACATTACAGTTAGTAAGTCCAGCAAAGTCAGATGCTGCAGTGTGTACAATCAACACACAAAATCCACTTCTACTTACATCTTACCAGTGATCTCTCTGGACGAGAATAATTAAAAAAGAAACATAGTACCTTTAAAACCACACCAAACATTTCTTGGTAATAAATTTAACCAAGAAAACCAAAGATTTGTTCATGAAAACATTTCTGGGAAAAAAAAAAAGAAGACCCCAAGAAATAGAAAGACTTTTTGTTTATAGCTATGGCACCCTGATCCCAGACTGTTCAGGGAAGCTAAGCAGGGTTGGGCCTGTTTGGTGCTTGGATGGGAGAAGGCTTTCCATGCTTGGGATTAGATGATAGTAACACCTAAAGTGATCCAAAGGTTCAACTAATTCTCATCAAAGCGCCAATGACTTTACTGTAGAATTCTACCACACATTAAAAGACTTACCATACACGTTGTACCCCACCCCCCAAAAAATAGAAGGGTAGGGAACACTTAAAATTCCCTTTATGGAGCAAGTATTATCCTGATACCCAAAGTAGACAAGTCCAGTTCCAAAGAAGGTTAAAGGCCATCATGCAATGAAACATCCACCTGATACTCCTTGTTAAGTTGTGGGAATAAATGCATGCTGTCTTATTATAAAGTTTACCGTTCTTACTGTTTCAAATGAACAGCTCAGTGGCATCAGGTGCATTCACAGTGCTGTGTAACCATCACCATCATATAAAAGAGGCACAGCATTTCTCCTTTTGTGACTGGAATATTTCAGTTGGCATAACATCTCTTTTTGGCATAATATTTCCAAGGCTCAGTCTAAAAAACACATATCAGAATTTCCTTTTTAATGTCTGTATATATTACACTTCACTTCCCCGTTCACCATCAGTTGATAGCCATCTGGGGTTTTTCCACCTTTAGGCTTCTGTGAACAGTACTGTTAGGAACATTGTTCTGCAGTGTTCTCAGTCTGTGCTTCTGATTTTGGGGGTCTATGTACACACAGATGGAATTGTTGGATAACATGGTAATTGTACTATCAAATTGTTTTCTATAGAAATGTCATCATTTTGTGTCCCTGCCAGCAGTGTGCAAAGTTTGCCATCTCCATACACTTTCGTGACCGTTTCCTTGATTTTTGATAGTAGCTATCCTAATGTTTGCCCGTTAATGGTGAAAAACTGAATCGTTCTTTATTAAGACTGAGGACAAGCATTGAAATGTTTATTTTCTCTACTCGTTCAATGTAATGCGAAAAGTTCTAGATTGAGCAAAGAAAGCAAGAAAAAAGAGGTGAAGACAAAGATCATTAACTAAGAACTAAAGCTGTTCTTATTCCCTTGGGACATGATGGTCCCTATAGAAAATCTGTAGGAACTTAGCAGAAAAACTCTTTAGGGCTACTGAGTGAGTTCTGCCGGGTTGCACACAAACAACTGTATCACATTGTAGTGAGATGTTCACTCTGTCCACACCTGTGGCACCGACCACGCCCATTGGGGGTGGGGACAGGGGTGGATGTTACCTGGGGGAACTAGGTCTGAGGAGTTCCTCCAAAATGCAATGCCATCAAGATCACACACACACAACATACTGAAATTCTGAAGTGTAACATAATAAAAAGTTTGTACGATTTTTTTCTGTTTGTTTTTTGAGACAGGGTTTCACTGTGTAACAGTCCTAGTTGTCCTAGAACTCACTTTGTAGACCAGGCTGGCCTTGAACTCACAGAGATCTGCCTGCCTCTGCCTCCTGAGTTCTGGGATTAAAGGCATGCCTGGCTACCTTGTAGGATCATAATCTTTGGAATTACATTTTGTGAAAGAAATAACAACACACACACACACACACACACACACACACACACACACACACACAGAGTAAGGACTGGAAGATTGGACATTAATAAAGAGGTCAATTTTCACCATATGGATACACATGGCTCTGGCTACATTTGTATCACCTTGACACAAGCTGTAGTCATCTGGGAGGAGGAAACCTCTTGAGAAAGTGCCTCCAGGATGGGGCTGTGGGTGCTAGAGTGCATTTGCTTGATTGGTGATTGATGGCAGGGGCCCAGCCCGTTGTGGGTGGTGCCACCCCTGGACTGGATGGTCCTGGGTTCTATGGCAGTGTGGACTAGGTAGGCAATGAGGAGAGGAGCAAGCCAGTACGCAGCACCCCCCCCCCCCCATGGCCTCTGCATCAGGTCTTGCCTCAAGGTTGCTGCCCGGTTTGAGTTCCTGTCTTGGCTTCCTTCAGCGATGGACTGTAATATGGAAGTGTAAGCCAGAGAAACCCTTTCCTACCCATCTTGATTTTTGGGCATGGTGTTTCATCGTATCAATACAAACCCTAACTAAGATGCATGGTAAACAGAAATTCTGGTAAAGTTATAACAACTTTTGTTGTTTATAGTAGTCATATGTATGTATGTATGTACATACATACACATGATTACTATAAAATTTGTATAGGAAGACGCGGGGTGTTTTAAAATAGCTAAAGTAACTATTTAAGTGAAGTTTATTGGTTGTGTGTATATATCTAACCCCAGCTACTCAGGAAGCTGAGGTAGGGGAGTTGGAAGTTGAGCTAGCATGGACAGCATAGCAAGAGCCCCTTCGAATCCAGTAAATAAAGCAGAAGGAGTCATTCTTCTTGATTTCATGTCCTGCTATATAGCTGCAATAATTAAAACTGTTTTTGTTTTGGTCTTGTATATGCCTAGATAGGAAACCCCTCATTTCTAGGTTCCATGTATGGAACTGGCATCCATATATGGAAGGAGTTGTCTCCAACATACAAAAACAAGGTTCTGGGTAAAAGTAGGGGCCATAAACTCCGTGTAGTTGCACCAGATCACCGCGTTATTACTGCCTTGGTTCTGGATAGTGACTTAAACTGGTTCTTCCATGAGCAGGAATGTGTTTTTGTTATAGGCATTAATGGCTTTCCATGACGTGGCTGTGGCCTTCAACCAGATGGAGTGGGAGCTGTTGAGTCCTTCTCAGAGGCTCCTGTACAGGGATGTGATGCTGGAGAATTATAGCCACCTGGTCTCCCTGGGTAAGGCTGTCCTGTTTCAGGCCCAAGTTTACCCGTGGGCATCTTAAACGTCTGTGTAGCAGCCAACGTGTTCTGTTCTTAGATAGAATGTCCATATTTTGTAGAGAAGGTGTGTGTGTGTGTGTGTGTGTGTGTGTGTGTTTGCAATGACTGCAATATATTTCTAGGCTGCACTCTTCAAATATGGGAGGAGCTTTACTCAAGCACAGGGCATGAACACCCTGCTTTGACCCAGGATCCCCTGCTCTTGCTCAGTCCTTCTCATTGTCTGATATTATTTCCCCATCTCTGTACTTCTCTTCTGGGTGTTTGACATTTCCTACACTGGCCTGGAGTTCTGTTGTAGCCTTTTAAGCTACTAGCCTAAGGTCTCTTTGGTTTGGTTTCTTGCCAATAGGAATTGCATTTGCCAAACCCAAACTCATCACACAGCTGGAACAAGGGGCAGAACCCTGGAGAGATGGCAGTGAATGCCTTCTGGACCTTTGTCTAGGTAAGTGGGCAGGTGATGAGGGTACAGGGCATTGAGGTGCTCCGGAGCATGCTAAGGAGAGCTCTTCTCCCTGGGCCCCAGGTAAGGCTGTGAAACGTTCCTTCCACCTCCCTCCTTCCCTCCCTCTCTTCTCTCTCCCTCCCTTCCCCTTCTAACCCCTCTCCTCCTATCCTCCTCCCCTTCCTCTCCCTTCCTGTCTCCCTCCCTCCCTCCCTTGCTTGCCTGGAGAGGGCTCCCTTGGAGGTCTACCTCAGCAGGGTACCTGCTGAATGCTCTTCAATTTCTGTCTGTGACCCAGCAGCTGCTGTAAATCACACCTGTCGTGGTTTAATTAAGATTACAGCAAAATGTGAAGATCTGTAGCAATCTGTCAGCCCTGTGGGCTAGGAGCCCATTGCCCACCAGGGGGCAGGCTTGCTCCTTCTCAGACTGGCCTGCTTTCCCACCTCTGGTCACAGGTGCCTACCTTTGTGCTTTTATCCTGCCCCTGTGGGTCCTTCGGAATACCACATTATTTTGCATGTTTGTAAATTTTTTCAATCATAGTGTGTCACCCCCCCCCCAATTCCTGGCAATTAAATAATGTCACTCTACAATTAGCAAAAAAAAAAAAAAATCCTGGATCAGGAGCATTTGAAAGATGAAAAAAAAAATAATAAAGGGAACAAAAATGGCACCACAGTAGAGTGTTATTTACGTATAAGATTTTTGCAGTCATATTGATGATTAAATCACAAGTTTACCTTTAAAGAGAAAAAGGTATGATAAGAGTATGAGACCTAAAGTCTTATCATAAGTAAGATAAGGAGATCTAAATGAAGGTGACATTCTCTGTACTCCTAGGGTAAAATGTCTACAGGTATACTGTGGTGCTTTCCTTCATGTGGACTTTTCTTTGTGCCTTGTGTGTTAGGTTTAGGAGATTTCTGTTCTACCACTAACAGAAGGAGGAGTGGGGTGATAGGAAGACACATGCCGTTAATGCTTAAGGGTCGCAAATATTCCTCTTGGATTTGTTCAGCTCTCAGGCTGACAGGGGCAATGGCCAGGTCTCCCACCAACGTGAGGCAGGGGTTCCATTCCTAGAACTCTGCCAAGCCCCTTCCCGTGCCATCAGCCAGGGGTAGAATGCCTCCCGCAAGCATGTGTGGAAGTCCAGTTACTCCCTGAGTTTGGGAACTTCACTGTCCGCTGTGGAAGTGACCTTGGTTTGATTTGGGGGTCGTTCTCTTCTTTTTGAAGCGTGTTGACATCAGAACAGCTCTGCTAAAGATTAGATACTAAAGAACCAAATTAGTAAGCGAGCTGAGCAGACAATCCTCAAAGGAAGAAATACAAGTGAACAGTAAAGGTGTGAAGAAGTGTTCACCGTCTTTAGCCATCAGGGAGGTGCAAACTAAATCTGCTTTGCGATTCCACCTCACGCACCCCCATCTTAATGGTCCTCCATAGTCAAAACAAAACAAAACAAAAACCAAGCGCAAGTGAGGATGGGGGAAGGGAACTTCCGCATACCACCAGTGAGAGTGTAAACAAAAGCGGCTCCTATGGAAACCAGTTGACAACGCGTCCTCAAGAAACTAAAAGCAGAAGTATGTGTGACTCAGCTCTGTCACACCTAGGTATATATGGAAAGGATTTGCAGGCGAATGAATGCCGCTGGGAATCATGTTCACAAAATAAGCCAGAGTTAAAAGACAAATAGGGTATTCCTTCTTCTCATATATGGAACCGAGGCTTACAATTCTCTTTTTCTCTCAACTCCCGTGTGTGTGTGTGTGTGTGTGTGTGTGTGTGTGTGTGTGTGTGTGTGTCTGTGTGTGCGCGTGTGTGTGTGCGTGCGTGTCTGTGTGTGTGTGTGGTGTGAGACAAAGCTTAACAGGGCATCAATCTGAAAGGTGAGGGTGAGGAGGACACTTAAGGGAAGTAGGAAATAGGGAAGGTAGTGGAACATATGTAATAAGAAAGCAGAAGCTGGAAGGAAGAACCAGCTAGAGAGGGGAGAGGGGAGTCAGTGGGGGAGGAAAGGAGAGGGACAGTGACATACATGTGTGAAGACATGAAGGTGCCACAATGAAAAACCCTAACCTGAAAAACCTGTAATACTCAACAAGTAAGTGCTTGTAGCCAGAGCTGTAGAATCCAAGAAGTATGACTGCCTTCCTTCATTCTATCCTGTTCTCTTTTGGTCCCAAGTGCAGCGCTTCTGATGCTATAATCCCGTGTCTGCTGTAGGCTTCTGCAATTATGTGTGGTTACAGTGTGCATAAAAGGCTGTTTAGTGACACTCCTAGTGTTCTCTGTAGGACAAGCTTTCTCATCTTCCCGGTATGCACAAGCTGAGGATTTTATCTTTTTCTTAACAATCCAATTGATTTCTTCTTGCATTTTTCATTATGTGGCAAGGACAACCCAAGCTGCAACTTTAATACTTTGCTTAGAAGTCTTGTCAGCTAAATATTTCCCTGTGCCTAAGTGCTACTCTTCCACAAAAACTGGAGTACGGCTCAGAAACTTGTTTTCCACATTCCCTTCCATCATTCCCTTTAGTGGCAATCTGGGCCCTTTTAGCATGTACATCACAACTCCCTAGCTTCTGTCACCCAGTTCTGAAGCAATTGCTGTATTTTCCCATGTGACGGGAACATGTACTTGTTGGTACCAAACATCTCTTCTCTTCAGCAGGACAGCACCAGTCCCGGTAGGATGGAGGTGTTCCCAGCCGTAGGGGATAGGCTCACACAGTTATGGAGGCTAACAGTCCTCACAGTTTGTGAGCTGAATTAGAACCCATTTCCTGAGGAGAAACTGACCTCAGTGGGACAGCTAGCTTTTCCAGTTTGGAAGAGCACGAGGAACAGCATTAATAAATGTCAGGAAGAAGCTGCTCAGCTATCTGGGATGGCCAGGAGCTATCTGGGATGGCCAGGAGCTATGTGGGACGGCCAGGAGCTATGTGGGACGGCCAGGAGCTATCTGGGACGGCCAGGAGCTATGTGGGACGGCCAGGAGCTATGTGGGACGGCCAGGAGCTATCTGGGACGGCCAGGAGCTATCTGGGACGGCCAGGAGCTATCTGGGACGGCCAGGAGCTATGTGGGACGGCCAGCCAGCTCATTGATTCTTCTCTTAGGAAAAACAACTGTGGAACATAGGTGCTGGGAAAGCTGCTTCATGGTAGGTATGCTTCTTTCCCCCAAGTCTTTATCGGCCATTTATCTTATCTCCCACCCTCTTTCTGCTCCCCAAACCATCTACTCCTCCTTTCCTATTAGGAAAGGCCAGGCCTCCCATGGGAGTCAACAAAACAGGGCATATCAGGTTGCAGTAAGACTAAGCACCTCCCCGTGTATTAAGGCCGGGTGAGGTGACCCAGTTTGAGGAGTAGGGTCCCAAAAGCCAGTAAAAGAGTCAGAGCCAGCCCCTGCTCCCACTGTTAGGAGCCCCACAGGAGGACCAAGCTACACAACTGTCACATATATAACAGTGTGCCTAGGGCAGCCCCATGCGGCCTCCCTGGTTGTTGGTTCAGTCTCTGTGAGCCCCTGTGAGCCCCTGTTATGATTCTGTGGGTTTTCTTGTGGTGTCCTTGACCCCTCTGGATGCTAAACCATTGTTTTAGGTCAGACAAGTCGCTGGTGTGGATCAGGGCTTGGGGACGTTCTCTAGCACAAGGTCTACAGTGTGTGTTTTAGACATCATGGATGTGCTCCCTGTAGTGACTCCTCATGTATGGAACTGTGAAAGGAGGTGTAAGTGGTACATTAATAATTTACTGTGGCCCAACTACGTGTGCAACAGTTGCCAGACCTAGTGCCTAGTGCCGATGGTTCATGAAATATGTCACACGTTGTGTTGGTCAGACAGATTCAGGTAGGTCTAGAAATCCGGACCATTCTGAGTCCTCAGTCAGAGCTGATTGGATTTTATAGTCAGCCCCACTAGACAAGAACCAATAATAATGAGACAGCTATACTGACTTATTATCTCCTAGGCAAGTACTGTTATTAGAGAGAGGGGAACATTTCTCTTTTGTGACTTGAAAACCCAAGGAAGTCCTGGATTAATTAGGTCACTTAGAGCCAGATCCCTTTAAGCAGTTACAGGTCTAGACCATGGCACACCTCCCTCCACTGCCGAATCTCTGTTTGCTGATAAGAGAGGCCCAGCTTGTTTTCCTTGTTTGCCTATGGGTGAGGGATCATTCTGTTTAATATCACACCTGGGTCTCCAACATTATTTTATACTGCCTCTCCTGGCTGGGGAAACCTTGAAGCCATCTACTTGAAATTAGTCATTTTCTAATAGAACAATCAATGAAGAAATACCTCATTGTGTAAAAGGAAGTATTTGTGGATGTTGGTTCCATAATTAGTAACTGATTGCAATAGTTTACAAAGCTGGCACTGTCCCTGAAACTTTTCAGTGTCCCAGTTTCCAGACATTCAGAGCTGTGTGAAGGCTGTTCGCAGCAGAGTATGAAGACAGGCCTGCAAAGGGAGTGTGTTGAGTGTCTGAGGAGTTAAGTTACTTTTGGGGAAGGGCATCTCTGAATCTCACCATGCTTTCTCTCTAGCAGAACCCAGGACAGAATTAGAGCCCCGCCTCTCCTGCCCGATAGCCTTTGCTAGTCCGGAAGTCCTCAGAGTGTGTGTGCTGAGTGGACACCCCCCAGAGACTTTCCCAAGCCCACCAGCCAGCAGCGACCTCCAGCTGGAAGCTCCCGGCGGTTCTAGCAGTAAAGAGGAGGACAACAGCGATGCTCTGTTTCAGGGATCGAGTCCAGTGAGGACCCTGAAGACATTCTTTAGCCCATGTCAGGGTCAGGCAGTGTACTGGGTAGAAGGCAACAGGAAACAAACAGACCTTGGCCTGGCCTCAGAAGGGATCCCTGAGAATGCATGCACAGCATTGACGGGATCTCACGAGTCAGCATCTGGAACAATCATGCATGGAGCATTTCCACTGGGGCTTAATGATGCCACAAGCCTGTTCAGCCCTCAGAGGCATCAGGGATATCCCGACTGCGGAGGAGGCTTTTGCCAGAGGTCAGACCTCATGAAGCCCCAGAGACTGCACGGAGGGGAAAAGCCTTACTCGTGTGCCGAATGTGGGCACCAGTTTACCCAGAAGGCCTCTCTCACGGTCCATCAGAGGAAACACTCCGGAGAGAAGCCATATGTGTGTGGGGAGTGTGGGCGAGGCTTCATGTATGTATCCTCTCTCAACAACCACAAGAAGATCATTCACTCCGGTGAGAGCCCCCTTGTATGTACGGAGTGCGGGCGAGGCTTCCGCCAGAAGGTAGACCTCCTCCTTCACCAGAGGACTCACCTGGACACAAAGCCCTTCGTGTGTCCGGAGTGCGGGAAGGGCTTTTGCCGAAAGGCCTCGCTGTTACAACACAGGTGGAGCGCTCACTCGGGCGACAACCCCTTCCTGTGCTCGGTGTGCGGGCGTGGCTTCAGGCTGCTCTCAAGGCTCCTCACTCACCAGGTCACACACTCCGGGGAGAAACCCTACGTTTGTGCTGACTGCGGGCAACGCTTTGGCCAAAAGGGCACGCTCATCCGACACCAGAAGACACACACCGGGGAGAAACCTCACGTCTGTCGCCAGTGTGGCTGGGGTTTCACCCAGAAGGTCAACCTCATCAGACACCAGAGGACTCACACAGAGGAAAAGCCTTACCTGTGCCCCGAGTGTGGGCAAGCCTTTGAGTTCAAGTCACTCCTCACCAGGCACCAGAAGACACACATGGGGGAGAAGCCCTATGTGTGTGCCCAGTGTGGCAGGGGCTTTAGCCAGAAGTTCAACCTCATCGGGCACCAGAGGATCCACACAGGGGAGCTGCCTTTCCTGTGCCCTGAGTGTGGGCGTGGGTTTGTAAAGCAGGCCACGCTGATCCGACACCAGAGGACCCATGCACGTTGGGAGAAGCCTTACCAGTGCCCCGAGTGTGGGCGAGCGTTCGAGTTCAAGTCACTCCTCACCAGGCACCAGAAGATCCACACGGGGGAGAAGCCCTATGTGTGTGCCCAGTGTGGCAGGGGCTTTAGCCAGAAGTTCAACCTCATCGGGCACCAGAAGACACACACCGGGGAGAAGCCGTACGTGTGCTCCCAGTGTGGCCAGAGTTTTAGGCAGAAGTTCAACCTAATCAGGCACCAGAGGATTCATACAGGGGAGAAGCCCTTCCTGTGCGCCGAGTGTGGGCATGCGTTTGGGAAGAAGGTCTCTCTCATCAGACACCAGAGGACCCACGGAGAGGAGAAGCCGTACCGGTGCCCCGAGTGTGGACGAGCTTTCGAGTTCAAGTCACTCCTCATCAGGCACCAGAAGACGCACACGGGAGAGAAGCCCTATGTGTGTGCCCAGTGTGGCAAGGCCTTTAGCCAGAAGTTCAACCTCATCGGGCACCAGAGGATCCACACAGGGGAGAAGCCGTACCCGTGCCCCCAGTGCGGGCGTGCCTTTGGCTTTAAGTCTCTCCTCACCCGACACCAGAGGACACATTCGAAGTAGGAGCTCTATGTAAACAGCGTGTGTGGGTAGAGCCTGTATGCAACGTCACACTCATCTCTAACTGGAGGACTCAGGCCAGTTCACAGAGAAGCCATTTGTTTTGGGTGTGGCTTCGGCTTTAACTCTGCCCTCATTGTACACCAGCAGACCCACTCTGGGAAGAAGCCGTGTGTGTGTGTGTGTGTGTGTGTGTGTGTGTGTGTGTGTGTGCACGCGCGCGCGCGCGTGCAGGAATTGCGGGTGGCTTCAAGCAGAAGTCTCACCACCGCAGACACAGGAGAACCAAGTGTGGCCAACAGCTCCTAGCCTGAGAAGTGTTTGCCCGTCTTGTTCCTCCCTTTGTCCAGGAGCACGAAGCTGGCAGAACTCACTCGTGAATGTTCCGTTTTCCGGAAATGGGATGGGGGAAAGTCCTTGCTTGCTCATGAAATTGGTCTACGGTTTACTTTCTTCAGCTAGCAGTGCTAGCTTTCTAGGGCTCCCTAACAAAATACTCAGACTGTATGCCTTAGGCAAAAGAAATTTACTTTGCCCTATACGAGGAGCCTGGGAGTCGTCTCTCAGACTGGCTGAGGTGTGGCTCCTGCCTCACCTCTCTTTAGCTGGTGGGATGGCTTCCTGGCGTGCCGTCTCCTTTGCGCATGATTTCCTGGTGCCTGTCCTCCCAGATAGGGCCACACCACAGGACTTGTTCACCTTTGGTTACTTCTTTAAATGTCCTGTTCCACATCGCATCACATTGGAGGTAAGGCGTCAGTGTTTACATTGTGGGGAATATGATTCAGTCCACAGCTGGCTCTCCCCACGACACTAGAGTGCTATTTGGACATACAGAATACATTTGTGCCATCCCCAGACTCAAGCCGGTAACTCATTTCAGCATCAGCTCTAGATTGAAAATCTATAAATACCTAAATCATGGGTGAGGCTTTAAGTCCAGTGCACTTGTAAGCCATATTTCCATCTGCAATCCTAGGAAATCCAATATGGATTTTGCTTCCAAATTCCAATGGCCAGACAGACACAGGCTAGGCGTTCTTATTCCAAAAGGGAAACATTGGGAAGACCCAAGGAGTGATGGGTCCCAATGTCAGCTACAAACCTAGCAAGGCAAAATCTATAGGGCCATAAGTCTCAAGAATAATGTTTGACTCAATGTTCTGTCCCCTGTCCCACAAGGATGGCGAGTAATATTGTTTCCCTAGCTCTGAACAATGGTTTCTGAGCCATGGACACTGAGGAGACACATTTGACCTCACTCCAGACCTGTTCTCTCTGGCCTCTGGTCAGAGTAGTTACCCTGATACATGAATCCTATTTGGAACTACATTCCCCGAATTTTCTTTTCTTTTTCCCTCCCTCTCCTCTCCTCTCCTCTCTCTTAATATATAAATCAAGCTGGACTTAGTTTACAGAGCTGCACCTGCCTCTGCCTCCCTCGTGCTGGGATTAAGGGTGTGGGCCACCACACCAAGTTCTTTCCTTTTCAAGAAGATGAACACATGCTCACAACTTGGAGTTCAACAAATATTTTTTTCTTTTTTAAAGGTTTATATATTGTGTATACAGTGTTCTGTCTGCATGTAACCCTGCAGCTCAGAAGAGGGCACCAGATCTCATTACAGATGGTTGCGAGCCATCATGTGGTTACTGGGACTTGAACTCAGGACCTCTGGAAGATCAGCTAGTGTTCTTAACCACCGAGCTGTCTCTCCAGCCCCCTAATATTTTCTTAGAATTTCAGAAACCCTAAAGTCTGTCTTCATTTTTGCCCCAATCTCTCTGCTGGTCCACCCAGGCTAGAAGGTGCTGGGTGAGATGCCTGATTGGCTTTGTGGTTCACACTCACATTAATTGCTTTAAAAAACGATTTCCAATGTTTTCCTCAAAACACACTTTTAGGGCTTAATACAAACAAACAAAAAACAACAACAAAAACAAAACTGTATGAGTAAGGGGAGAATTTTCCAAGTTTTAAAGTTGTAACCATTTTTTTTCTCAATAATTCCATGAATTTATTTCTGTCCTTATGTTTTGCTAGATGCAACAAGGGCAAATAAGGCCATAGTTTGGTCATCTGTGTAGAAATCTCATCTGAGTATTTTGTATTACATTACTTAAGATTTTTATCTCCATTTGGGGCCATAAGATGGCTCAGCAGGTACAGGCATGTGACACAGAGGCCTGAGGACCTGTGTTTGATCCCTGGAATCTACATAGAAGGAGAGAACCAAATCCAGAAAATTAGTCTCTGACCTCCACACATGTGCTGTGGCAATATGCACTCCCAGTAATGATGATAATAAACACTCCATTCTGCAAAACATTAGGATTCAATTCAGCCAGGTCCCTTGCCACTATATAGCAAGGATACCAGATTTTTTTTCATTTATTTTACATACTGACCACAGTTTCTCCTCTTATTTCCTCCTCCTGACTCTCATCCATCCCTCTTCTTATCCACTCTTCCTCCTCCTTTGAGAAAGGGAGGGGCTTCTCATGGGTTTGAACAAAGCATGACCCATCAGGTTGAGGAAGGACCAAGCTCCTTCCCCTGCATCAAGGCTGGGTAATACAGCATGGGGCACAGGTTTCCAAGAGCCAGCCAAGCACCGGGGACAGGTCCTGATCTGCTAGGAGCCACTGTCACACACATGCAGAGGGCCTAGGTTGGTCCCACTCAGACTTTCTAACTATTGGTTCAGAGTCCATGTGCTCCCCATAGCTCAGGTCCCATTTCCCACCCCTCCCCATCCAGTTTACCCAGGAGATCTCTTCTATTTCTGCTTCCCAGGGAAATCCACGCATCCCTCTTTGGGCCTTCTTTGTTATCTAGCCTCTATGGGGCTGTGGATTTTAGGCCGATAATCCCGTACTTTACTCCCAATAAAGGATACCAATTTTTAGTACCAAAAATTAATTAAGTGTGCCTGGCTCCTGAGGCCTCATCAGGATCAGCTTACACATACACCTCAAATGGGTCTAGCTAGCTGTCACATGTTACACAGATGCTAGCCACTAACGCATTTTTAGGTTTGTTGTGAAAACACCTGACTAAAATCTGTATTAGTTAGGGTTACCATAGGACTTCCCAGGTTCTTCCTCTTCCCTCCCCCCATTCTTACCCCAAACCTCAAACCTTCCTGCCTTTATTCTTATTTTGAAACAGGGTCTCATGTAGCCCAGGGAGGCCTTGAACTCACTATGTAGTCGGACTGGCTTAACCTGATTCTTTTACCTGTACTCCCCAGTGCTGGGTTACAAGTATGAGCTACCATGCCCAGCCTTTCCAGACTTAGAAGGACATTTCATATTGGATTAGGACCACACACATATATTTCTGGACCTCTTTACTGTTCTGTCTCCAAATACAGTCACATCACCAGAGCTTTAATACACAAATGGGCTTGGAGTGGGACACAGTTCACTACAACAGTATTCCCTCTGCATCTGCAAAAGTTGACTGGCTATCAGTTCCCGCATAAGAGGTGTACGTGACCATTCATTTCACTTCTTCAGAGTGGTAAAGATGACAGAAACCACTGGTAAGTGTTCTGCTTTTCTGATGGGGAGGGAGGAAGGTTGCATTTTCTCACTGCCCACGAGATAGTTGACTGCTGTTTACACCACAGCTTTCTGTGCTTTATAAACTTTTCTTTAAATAAACTGGTTCTCTACAAAGCTGCACACCCAGGCATGGGCCATGTTGTAATCTACTGTGGAGAATTCCAGGGTATCCAACCTTTGGGAGCCATGGAGGATTTCACTGCGCGTTTATTCTGGATTCTGTCTGTTTAAAGTGAGTAGTATTGTTGTCTTGGACCTCACTGTTCAGAAGGTCCTCCAGTGTCTGTGATGAGAGGGCTTCTCACTGCACAGGTGGCCTTTCTAACACAGACTCAGGGTATTTGTATTTATTGTGTCTCTGCATCTCAGAGGCCCATCTTGTTTAGCTGTGCCCATATGGCGGTGATCCATTCCTGGCTGTCACACCCTTCAGTCACAAGCTTCATCCACCAGCCAGGGGTTTATGATCTGAGGCCACCACCTTCATATCTATCACAAGGCAATGCTTCCTTAGCCCAAATGCCCCAACCCTGACAAATACCTACTCGAGGACTGGCCTCAGCCTGGTCCCCTTGATGTCACATATTTACCATAGGATCAGTTTCCCCAGGGCATGGACCCTTTATTGGCTCAGGCGAGGTTTCCCAGAATGAAACAAAAAGAATTTCAGTTTGGGGGAGTCACAGTCTTGAGAGGATGGAGGAAAGAATGGGTAATGGGTGTTACTGGCCCAACCATGCACCTGGAGATATCTGGACTTCAGTGATATCCTGGCAGCCTGAGCTGAGATGGCTAGGAATACCTGGGGACCAGGCCACCTTAACACATTTATTCCAAAGCCCCTTTGCCAGAGCTTCTCTAATGGCCTGAACTGAAAGTGATGTGTGTACATGTATGTGTGTGTGGTGTGGAGTCACCTCACATCCAAAGTTACAAAGAGTTTCTTTGAGAAACGGACACTAGCCTATGTATCAACCGTTTACCTCGGTAGTCTTCTTTAAAAATATTTAATATTCATAAATGCATGTAATGTATTTTGATCAAACCCACCCCACTCCCCCTACTTCCTCCCCTATCCAGCACTTTATGTGCTTTCTGCCTTTTTAGAAGAAAATTTAGTAACCACTGTCTAGTTACTTTTCTGTTGCTGTGATAAACCATGGTGACCAAAGGGAACGTAAGGAAGGGAGAGTTTATTTTGAATTATGGCTCCAGAAGGGTTATGAGTTCATGGTGCTGGAGTGGAGGCATGTTAACAAAGGGCAGGCATGGCGGCTGCAACAGGATGGGGGGGGGCTCATGCTTCATTGTGAGCATGGAGGAGAGAGTGCAGTAAAGAGATTTTTTTCACTCTCAAAGCTCTCACCCCCAGGAACATATTCTCTCTAGCAAGGCCACCCCTCCCAAATCTTCCCAAACAGCACTACCAAAGGGGACCAGGTATTCAAATGCCTGATTATGGGGTTTCCTACTCATTCAAATCACCACACCCATGGAGTCCATTTAGTGTGGCTTGCATGTGCATGGGTGTGGGACTATGTATTGGAACAAGAGTAGCCTCCCACCCCTGAAGACTCTCCCCTTCTCAGCAGCCAGCAGGTGCCAGTAACTCCTCAGATAGGGGTGTGGCGTTTTTAGCCGCTCCCCCACCATGCTGGGTTTAGGCTGGTCCTGATCTAAGTCTTGTGCATACAGCCCCATAGGTGTGCAGTCCTACTGTCATGCCTGGCACGTAAAAAAGAAGACTATCAGAGGAGGGTTGAGAAGCACTAATACATGGGTATAAAGATAGAAATCACAGGGCTAAAAGTTTACTACTGTGTCGGTTTAGCAGCTTCATAGTATTAGGTTCTCCCATTGGGC